ATCTATAGGGGACCCCTGCAAGCATAGCTACCTCTCACTGTGAAGGGGATATTGCATGTTGCCCCTTGCCCTAGTGGTTAAGGGTGTAGGGTTGGGGCCGCCAGTGGGGGTCTGGCTAACGCAAAGACCGAGACCTGCCAGTAGCTGCGCCTCCGCTTGGCAGCTCTTTCGTCTTCTTTTTTTTTTTTTCTTTTTATGCAAACTCTGCGCTTCGCAGCTCTTTCGTGTTTTTTTTTTTTTTTTTTTTTTTTTTTTTTGGCTTCCGAGAATACGAATGCATGGAGGAAAAACACATACAGTGTTGTTGCAAGATGTATCAAAATCAAAGGGACGCTGGACCCGATTTCCAGCAGGTGCCGCTCCCCACCAATAGAGAGAGATAAGCGCTCACTTCTTGTCTACATGCTTCTTCGCACCATCAACTCGTTCTTCTCTACATGTAGGCAACACGATGATGCAGTTTGTCCTCGTTGTTTTGTGACTTGGAACTTTGAAGATGTACGGCTTGATGTGAGATTGGTACTGTGCTGCCAAGGTTGTTGTTCTCTCCCTTTCTCTCTCCCTCTCCCTCTCTCTCTCATACGCACACATGCGCACACACACACACAACCTCCTGATGAGTCGGTGAAAGTCCGACGAAACAGTCTGTTCGGTACAGTCATGCTTTTTTTGAGTGTATAGCGATTATGACAACACACACACACACACACACACACACACAGACACACTACCTCTCTCTCTGTCTCACATAGACACGCACACATCATCACACATACTACTCTCTCTCTCTCTCTCTCTCTCTCTCCCCCCTGCTCTCTCTCTCTCTCCCGCTCTCTCTTTCCCTCTCTCTGTCTGTCTTCTAGGTGGCGATGGGTGTCGTATCCACAGAATGTGCTTGGTGGACTTGTGTTTTCTCTAGAAGAGAAGAGGACCACCTAAGGTCTGAGACTTATTATTCTTGCGGTCCTCTTCTCTTCTAGAGAAAAACGGAAATCAGAGCTAGAAAAGAAGAGGACCCTTAGAAGAAGAGAAGAGGACCACTAGAGGAGAAGAGGACCACTAGAAAAGATACATCACTAGAGTTGCATTCTTTTGACGAGCGGTATGGTCTTTCCCTTTTCTGTTCATTTGTGGGTGGTGGTCATTGAAGTCGTCGTCTGTTTGCAGAGGGGTGCGTCGCTTTTTCCTCTTTGTCTGCTCATCTCTTGTGAAGTGTGATGTTCGGTGGGAGATTCTGAAACCAAACCCTCTGCAGAAAAAAAACGAAAAGAGAAAAAAGACCTGATCGACCTCAGGTAATTCAGAATTACTCATTGGATTTCGTCGTTCATCTAATTCATCTGGATTCGAACTGAGGGCCAAACTCCACTACTCCAACGGAAAAACTTCCCGCCTTTTTTTAAAGAAGTTTGAGAGCATTTACTACTCCAACGGAAAAAACTTCCCGCTTTTTTAAAAAAAGTTTGAGAGCATTTACTACTCCAACGGAAAAACTTCCCGCCTTTTTTTAAAAAAGTTTGAGAGCATTTAAAGTTGTCGTAGCTCCTCAGTTGGTTATTTCAACAGTTCAGGGGGGATGTACCTACCAACTGAGCACGACGACTTTGAATGCTATCTCAATACCCTGTTTTTCCGTTGGAGTAGTGGAGTTTGGCCCTGAGTTTGGCTTCAGAGAAGCTCAGATTTCAGACTCGAAGACACAGCTGAACTAGCTTCAACTGCAGAAGGTGAGCTAGCACCATCATCAAGCAGTTTTTTATCTTCTTCTTCTTCTTCTTCTTCTCCTCTCCACATCTCTTTCTGCCCCTCCTCCTCCTCCTCCTCCTCCTCCTCCACCTTGCCACGTGGCTGGCGCCTTCGCCGCATCCTCAGTTTTCTCAGTTTTCTTTTTTTTAAAACTAATCTAGATTCATTTCTCAATCTATCAATCACTGTACATTATTCCGCATCTATCTCATCTATCTCACCCTCTCGCTACGGGGGGTGAGAGGAGGACGAGGCTGAGCCCGTGTGTAGGAGGAGGACGAGGAGGAGGAGGAGGAGGCTGAGCCAGTGTGTGGGAAAATTCTGTATGTTTTTTTCTCCATCTTAACGTATGCTTTCCCGTTTCAGGAATTGACATGAAATATTAGTTATTGTTTTTTTTTTTTTGGCTTAGGATTTATGTGTTGTCTATTCCCCCTTTGCGCGCTCTCCTTCCACCCCACCACCCAATTCTATCGCCTCGCCGATTAACTTCCCGATTTTTTTTCCTTTTGTTTTTTGTTTTATAAACTTCAAAACCTTCATTTTTATGACCTTAACGAGTCTAATCCGTCCGTGATTTATTGCTATTGTCCGTACTCTCTGTTTATTTTTGGATTATCTTGTGCGTTTTCCTTTGCGCGAGATTCATTTGTGTATGTTGTGCAGATGCGGATCCTTTCCCCCGCTCTTCCCCACGATTGCGATGAAAGGATCCGCGCAACATACACAAATGAGTCCGCGCACTATTACGAGATTCGTTTGAAAGAACCTTACGAGATTCGCTTGAAAGATTCATTTGTGTATGTTGTGCGGATGCGGATCCTTTCCCCCGCTCTTCCCCACGATTGCGATGAAAGGATCTTTCAAGCGAATCTCGTAAGGGCGGGAAGAAGGAAAACTTTTTTAAGAAGTGAAAAAAAAGAGGTAGTAAAAAAAAAATGAAGTGATGAGACCTGAGGGTTGCGTAGAAAGAAAAGAAAAGAAAAGAAAAATTCACGTTACGGCGGGAAGAAGGATAATTTCCTAGGAGGGAAAACTAAAAAAGAGTCGTTAGGAAAAAATTGCAGTGATGGGACCCGAGGGTTCTGTTAGGGCGGGCGGCGGGGCGGAACAAAAAAAAAAAAAGAAAAAAAAGAATGTCGTAATGGCGGGAAAAAGGTGCAAACCACACTCCCGAG